CCTATAGGGCCTGTGCCTAAATACGCCTCTGGATATATTATATGATAACAAATTTGAATTTTGGCAATGTTAGCATTTGAAATAATATTTTGCAGTTTTGTACAGTGTAAAAAATATGTTTATTCTGTTCATGCAAGTAGGTATACAATATTTCTGTATTTAAATTATGATTATATTATGTTATATTGTTAATTTTAGTTCAAAACATCAATAAGAAGTATAAATAAAAAAATGCTATGAATAAAAATGGTATTATATAATAAATAATACTCAGAATAATATTATGACGTTTTAATTTATAATTGTCATAAATGAATAATATAATACTAATTATTTAATTATYTAGCATTATGTGTTGCTCCTAGTCTTTTATTCTGTTCAACACCATAAGATAAATCGTGTGGCATTTTATGTGGTTTCATCAGAACACTTTCAGAATTGAATGATTTTGGAGTACATATGGCCAGGGTTACCAGATTAATTTTTTCCAAACCCAGGACATTTTGAATGGATAAATGTTATATAAAAATATATATTGTCATATGGAAGAAAAAARTATATATGAACTATAAATAATAATAAAATAAAATGCCTATATGATTGTCACACATAATCTTGCATTTTATTATATGTAGGAAGAATATTTTCTCATGGTTGAAAATCTCTATTTTATCGAGCAAAATTTTGAAACCGGGACAAATTGCTGTCTCGCGATAGTGTTTCGGGACACTTGATTAAAAATCRGTAGTGTCCTGGCAAAACCAGTACGTATGGCAGAGCACTAGAATTAGGTTGGCTTCCATAACTGTGTTCTGAAATGCATTTCCACCTAGGGACTCTTCCTGCAGCTAAATGTTTTCTTTCTTTAATTTCAGTTTTATGCCTGGATCTATAGCTGCAGSTKGYGTACCAATGCGTTTGTTTCCAACTAACTATTAAGTGTCTTGGAAGTTGGATGAAGACCAGAATATTTGCCGAATGTCATCATAGCTGAAAGAAGCCTAGTATGATTATTTACATTCTTCTTGAATGAATTACCCATTGGTCCCATTGCTTTAATACCCGGTGTGAAGTAGATTTCATCTGATTTTATGTCTTCTCTCATTTTTTGTACTATCACAWCAAACATTTGTAGAGCATTACCAATATAGTTTCACTTGCATTGATTTCCATGTTCTCAATTTCTTCAATTATAATCTTCTTCGATATTGTATCTTAAACCCAATTTATATTAATATTTCGTTTTAAATTGTCTTTAGTATACAAGTTAACAAGGGTTGAGGTTGCTTGAGAATTGAACCCTATACCATCCATTTTCAATTTCTGAGCTACCTGTAGTGGCGATTGWATGCAATTTTTATCTAGTTTCTTCATTAGTTGGTAAACAAAGTGTAAGATCCACATTTAGGCTTGATGTTACAAATATCTGGTGCATGCGAGGTTTACCAGTACAACCTTCTAGATAAGAACAAATCCTTAAATCCAGGTCAATATTGTATAGTGTGTTTTTATAATTATTTTTCACTTCATATATTGATCCCAAATGTTTAAATTCTAATTGTTGTTGACTGTTGTTGGGAGTTGGTTAATATAAATATTTTTTTAAATATTGTGCACGGCTATTAGCTGCAATATCTAACAACTTCATTTCATAAAACGCGTCAAGATAGTTGACAATAAAAAAAGCTAACTGTATAGGAGAATATGCTTTTGTTCTGTCAAGTATTGTATCTTTTACAATCTTAAATTCTTAACTCCTGCTTCATATATATTATTTGTGTTTTGTTCATGTGTAATCAATGATTTTCTTAAGCTAAGTGCCCATTTGTTACGTTGCTGAAATAAACTTACTACAAAAGTCTCAAATTTAGAATATTTTTCATCATTCATAACTTCATGGTAAAATATTTCTAATTCTTCAACAATTTTTGAATTTTTGAATACAACATTTTTAAATTTTTTTTATAAAGAATTTGAGGATGCTGCTGTGAAATTATGCTGTGATGAGAGTCACATAAGTACCGGCAAGATGCCTGTAATTAGATATGCCATTTCAATTGGATTTTTACAGTTAAAGTTCTTAGATCTTCAACTTTGAAGGTTGAAGTGAATGTTAAGCATAAGAAGAACTAAAAAAAATAATAGTTATGTAATATTTTACATTCCTACAGTAAATTGTTCAATTTCTATAAACTTAGTTTCATTAACAWGATAATTATAACCTTCAGCTAATATGCTCTGTAAATAGTGTAAATCAATAAAACTAATTTTAACTAAGTACATAGGTATTAACAGGGGAGGACTAGCCTATTATTTAGAAGTGCAATTTCAAGACAAGTCTTGATTGTATCCTAGTTTTAAAAATATTTAAATATTTAAAACTTGGGTTTTCTAAACTAAAATGAATGATACACCTTTTTAAGCCTTCCTACACTGCAYTTTTAGTCGARCATTGAGTAAATAAATAGTAGATACCTGAAATACTCATTATTGTGGCATGAATGGGTGACAGTATGTTTACCTRAATTTGTTGTGTTTACATATATAGTTTTATWATTAATTTTTTTAACTAAAAATAAAATATTATTAGTTGTAATAGTAACTAATAATTAGTAATAAGTACTTTATTCTTTTTTATTCTTTGTGCATTTTTTTGGCATATGTTATCATCGACTATGCCTGTTTTCTTTGTAAATGTCTTTTTAGTATGTTTATACTCATATATTGTATCATAAATAGTATATTTAAAAATCTGAAATACATGTGACCAAACATTTTGCTCATTGAATATATGCCAAGCAGACACTTGGAAATTGAAATGTTTTATACACAAATTAGATTTATACATTCCAACAATCCAACCAGATTACTACTTACTAATATCCTACAGTCCACCGTCATGAAACACAATGCAAATTATTTTTTGCTAATTTCTTTTTATATACCGAATAGAAATAATAGGAACAATAAAGTTATAACTTACAACACTTATATAAATAGTCAAAGAAAAGTAGAACATTTATTAGTAAATGGACATACAAAATAGTCAGATACATTTTTTATGGTACATAATTTTACAAATTACAAGTTTTGAAAATAGAACATGATATAATTAATCATATTAAATAGGACATTAACATACAAGTTAACATTAATTTAATTAAGTAGGTATTTAATAATTAGTATAATAAAACTAAGAATAYAAAAAAGAAAAAGAAATAGGTACATTTAAATAAAATATATCATTTAATAAATGGCATTTATGATTTATGTCTAACAAATATTAAACGGTTTTGTTTTAAAAGTTTGTTGGCCATGGTTCTTATATATTATTAACCTAATATTCAACTTTAACTTAATAGTAACCATTATGATATTGGGGAGAAAACAATGTTTAAGTTGATTGAATATTTTGGTTATAGCTTAGGTTACAATAGTTATTGATACAATGAAAACTAATGTGCAGTGATGAGGAGTCCATATGACTAAAATTCACAAGTTAAGATAATATAAATGGTAAAAAAAAAATGTTAAACATGTAAATGTCATACACGAACACTGATATAAATATTGACTAGCATTATTCATAATATTTGAGCAGGTACCTTDGGATTTAAACTATTAAAAATTGTTCTTCGCAAATTTAACTTAAGTATTTTACTATTTATTTATTATTTCTTATATTATTTGAAATGCATATATAACCAAAATTCAAAATTTTTATCAATGTTAACTTGGTCACATATATATCATATCTGGATGGTTAAATCATAGAATACCTATATGAAATAAATATTTTTATATTCTATATTTTATATTTTTTTATAATAATTATTATATTTTAGATTCTGAGCAGAGCGATGGATGTATTGATTTTACCATGATGTGTGTTTGTTTTTTTTTGTGTCTGTCATCATGTTTTGGGGCAGTGTTTTGATTTTCAACTTCAGTACTGACAGTACTTCGTTCGATCAGAAAGTGAATTTAGTTGGTACTTTGGGGGGGGGTCAAAAACTCAAAAGTAAAAAACATCTCAATATTTTTCTAAACGATCGGGATAAATAAACTAAAAATTAAGGGAAAACGGGAAATTATACGCACAATTAGTGTTCGACAAAATCGATTTTGATTTTTGATGTAACTTTAAAACAAATGACCATAGATAGGWACATGAAAATTTCACCGAATGTTTATATAAGTATATTCTATCCACCATGCAATTTTCAAAACATTGCGACTTAAGTTGAACTATTTATGGGCATATGCAATTTTCGATCATTATTAATTAATTTAAAATTAATATCGATAAAAATGTATTTGTTGAGTAGAGAAGCTTAAAAATTTAATACAAGGCTCCTAACATATTTTTACAATAGCAGTTGAAAAGTAACAGAAATACACAGGTAGTCACAATTCTTTTTTATAAGCATTCAAAGTTTGAATTTTGACAACATACGTAAAAATCACGAAAATTCGCAAATTATTTTAAGCTAGAAATTCATAAAACATTTTCTTATTAAATCTAAGATTTGAAAATGTTTAATAATATATCCTAGACACTAGACAGTTAAACCGTCTCCGCTCAGAATCGTTTTTCGTATTCGTATACAATGTTATAATATCATTGGATTCAAATTTWATTCCATCCATTACAGTAACCCACTTGTAACTTGTAACCTACTGTACACTGTACAGCAGTGGCAGTGGCCAGTGAGCATAGCGACATCCACGACTTCCCGCTTTTTTTTTTATTTCGTATATTCTGTGATATAATGTTATCACATATTTTATGATAACGAGTCATCATACCGAAAAAACCATGATAACACATAATATTATAATGTTAACATTTGGAATACCTAAACCTAATATGAAAATTGTAAACAAAGTTATTATTTTACTTTTCAAATAACACTTATATACGTACGTCGCTCACTCGCTCATTTAGAACATGATAATTTAAACATACCTACCATAGTACCATGAGTGGAAGACGGAAGTGGATTTACTGGATATAGTTAGTTGTTCTTCAATTCTACATTCTACAAACCATTCGGCGGCTGAATACTTACATTGACTTTAAGGTAAATTATGAGAAATTATACCTATTAATTTAATAAGTAGGTAACCTTATTTTGTTWGAATAAGTTAGGTATGATGTTACATATTTTTTAAGTATTTTCTGAAAACAGTAATTTCAGTCTTAAGTGTATTAAAAAATCGATATTTATAAATGAAGTACTTAATAGTAATATTCAATAGAATTTCAGAAAATAAAAGTATAATTATAAAAAAGTTTTTGGTTAGGTAATTTATTTATGATAATTTATTAGAAATTTAATTTATTATAATTTGTGTTCTATTTTTGATGTATAGTTAGAAATTGTCTTTATAATAGTTTAGTTTAATATCTAACTTTATTCATATAATATAATCTTTTGAATAACCTTAAAAAAAAAAAAAAAATAAAGAACATATTAAGAACTTAACATTAAAATCATAAACTTACCAATTTCTGTTATGTAAATATGCATATGACATAAAAATTCATTATTATTTGTTTTTATTGATTTTACCAAAAGCCTGTACCTGCAATAAGAATGTAGTTTAAGTTTCTATGGTGATAAGTGGTAACTTTGAACATTGTTCAATAAATCATTTTTTWAAAGTAGGTACCTATGGTAAATTTATTAATTTGATGTAAAATATAAATACATTTTATAATAGAATTTACTATTTAAATCGGAAAATATTTTAAATGTTTATTTCTTGTGAACCATAAATAATGTTCTTTTGGTTTAATCGAGATGGTCGGAATGCTCGTAATACTAAACTCCCAAAGGTACAACCAAAGTTCATTAATAAACAATTATCAAATAATCAAAAACGTTTAACATCTTCTGAGAAAAACAAAACTGTTGTGTACCCAAGATTTTCACCTGTGAATTTGCCTTCTATCAATTCAAGGTATCCTTACAGAATGCTGGAAAGACAAACAACATACATTGTTTCAAATCCTGTTTTTGTGAAACCTACAAAATCAACAAAGCAACAAAAAAAACCAAAGACATTTAGTGATTTTAAAAAGAACTTAAAAAAAATAAATAAAAAWAACAAGAATGAAAATGGAATGATGTGGATTGATTTATAAATTCTTCATTTTCTCGGTTACCGGCCCATTAGACCATTGCTGCCTTCAAGAGGTTTCGCCATCCATCTCTGTTTTAAGTAAGCTCAAAGGTTACGTTATGATCTATTTCTTTCAAGTCTCTGATTATTACATCGATCCATTGGGTTCTTAGACTTCCTAAGGGCCTTGTTTTATTCATTTTTTCTACAAGTGCTTATTTTATTAGTTTACCATCTGCTCTACAAGTGTGTCTAAAYCACTGTAGTCGCCTGTTCCTAATAAACACTATGATATCTGGTCTGTTGTGCAATATCTGTAATTTATCGTTTTTTCTTCTTTCGTAAGTATTCGTTTCTTGGTTGAAATGTGGCACATAGATGTTCCGGATTATTTTTCTCTTAGATATCATTAGTTTCCTTTCATCGCCTTTTGTTTAATGACCATATCTCACAAGCATATGCTATTATTGGGCATAAGTAGCTATGTTAGAGCCGATTTTTTTATGTTGATTTTAGTAGTTTAACTATACTATACTAACATCTGTTCCCACACATAATTCTTTCAATCACTTTCTGGTGCATATAATTCTTATTATTGACATTTACACCTAGGTACCTACTTTAAGTTATCTTCTACTTCAAATTTATTTTATGTTACTAACTAAAAGATGGTTTGAATTCTGATTGTTCCTTGACATCAAYACATACTTATTTTATTTTCATTTATACATAGGTCAATTGACTTACTTGCTCTCTAGCTAGATTACTTTACTAGTTTCTTAATTTTTTGAACGATTTCTTCTTTCCTAATACTACAATATCATCGGTGTAAGCTGATATCACTGACTCTCCATTTATGTTAATATTGCCCAGGGTGCCTTATACATCATAAGATATTTGTCTGGATATTTTGGTGTTTTCTTATATTGTTAGCTGTTAGTAAAATGCAATTTTTAAAAGTATATATTACATTGTGACTTGTCTTCCTGTTTGCTAATATAATTTACCWAACAGATGTTTATTACCTTGGTATATTTCCTTTTTAATGTTTTAAACATTGATATGATTTAAGTTTTAAGAAATTTTTAATACTTGTTATAAGGTGTAGTTTTATCCCAACTCATGTACATTTTACATACATTATTAATACTATATGACCACAACCCACGAGATTTGGTATTAATATTTTGTTAATATTAAAATATTGTAATATGGATTTTGAAAAACATCAAAAATTTTTATTTTTTCATGATTTAATTTATTTAAGCTTAAATTTAGTGGCTTCATAATATTAATTTGAATCTAATTCAAATGTTAGCATCTCTGATATAGTTATATGTAGTATACTTGTATCAACATTACTCAAAGTTGTTCAATATTAACTACTTCACCTCCCATTCAAATAAAATAGTTCATTTCTACTTATAGGATTGTCTTTTACTATTTGCTCATTAATCAGTATTGTGATGCATTACAAAAGCGATTTCATTGCATTTTATTAGATTACCTACATATTTTGCATTGCTTAAATTTATTTTTAAACTTTTTATACTTTTATTTATGTTTATAATTCATGTAATGTTTACAATAATTTTATATTACCCCTAGCAATACTAATTTATTAATATTACATAAATAGTATACCTACATATTTTATCATAATTTGATATCTAGGAATGAACCTAATATTATGTTTTGATTATAATTACATATCTATTTATCTAGTATATACATTTAATAACAAAATTGTTATTTTTTTTTTAATGTATTAAGTATTATTTTTATGTAATCAATTTCATTTTAATTACCTTCCATTCCCATAGCTTTAATATATATATATATGTATATATAGAGAGATTTTTATTCTAATTTTTATTTAAGTGAAAACAGATAATACAAGTTGTATAATATTGTAATACATAAAAATAAGTATTAACTATATGATATATTGTGTTTTGCTATTTTTATAATCTTTTGATAAATAATAAAATATATTTTATATTTTAATCTGGTACATAATAGTATATTAGTACATTACTTATATGAGTTGGATATTTAGTCCATTCCAGTAGCAGTGTTAACTGTTAACTTAGATAGGTCAATAGCATATAACTAATTTTAATAATAGAGAATAATCATTTTTAATATTTACTATTTTAGTATTTTCTAACTYAATCTAAAACATTAAAGCACAAATATTTTATTTGTAAAAGTTAATTATAAAACACATTTTTTGAACTGTATTTAGTCATTATGTCTTGTATACAAGTAATAGGCGTATAAATTGATATAATTTATTAATTATTATATTTATGAGTTCAAGTTTAAATACTTAATACTTTGGGAGGCTTCAGGAGTTTTTAAGGGGGTTAAGCTCTCCTAAGCCTCTCCATTTATTGCGTATAAATGTTTGCCGTTGGTTACTCGGATAAGGTAAATGCATGCATCAAATACTATGGCCTCGAATAAAGAAATTATATCTTAAAACAAACATGAGATTTGAACAAGCCATTGGTTACTTGGGCCGATGAGAATGTTTATGTACAAGCACTACAAACTACTTGACTGGTAATTATTGTTTAGGAACTAGTTTGGTTTTGGACTTGGGTTGGGTACAGAAAATGCATTGTGTAGTGATAGCAAATTTATATAATGCGCTTGACTACAGTAAAAAAGCAATGAATATTTTTAGATCTAGCAAAAGTTTTTGATATAGTTGATCATCTTGAACTTTTTTAAAATTTTACCAAATTTAAGCCTAAAAAATACTTGTTTAAAATGGTTTAAAAGTAATTTAAATAACAGAAAACAAAAAGTGCAAATTAATGATACCACAGGTGAAAAAATGATATTATTAACTGTGGTGTACTATATTACTATAAATCTAGTATTATGGGCCTGTTTTTATTCATATTATTGTTCACATGAATTCCATATATGATTTAAAAATTAATGAACAAATTATAACATATGCTGACAAACCATCCCCGTTCAGAATCTCTTTTCGTATACAATGATATTATATCATTGAATTCAAATTTAATACCATCCATTTTTAAATAAAAAAATGAAAAAAAAATATATATATACATATATAATTTTTTGTGTATAGAATATAGATTATTATTTATTGTTAAAATCAAAGTTATAGTTGTGTCAAAGTGATTATCATTTATTAGTTAAATTGTTTATAGCTGTACAGAACTAATTTATTTATTGTTATAATTTATTTTGATTTAAAAATATTTCAAATATTTCAAATATTTTACTATAATAAATAATATATAAGGCAGAATCGGCTCAAAAATTTTAGTTTATTATAAAAAATGTACATTATGATAGGTACCTAACTAACCTACATGTCTAATATTGTATTGGGACATCATGGACATTGTTTTTGCGCATGTTTTTACTTGTGTTTGCTTTTAAATATTTAATTCTAAAGAATTTGGTTTTCACTTTGAAATTTAGATTAGTACTTCTCGAGTTCTGATCTTTATTTTGATAATTTATGATTTATTACGGAAGAGAATTTATGAATTACCTATCTTGATAGTTAATGAGTATGATATGGGTTTTGTTGTTTAACCCATGGATGATGTTTTACTTGATTCATCGTTGCTCTTTTATTAACATCCGGTTCTAAAATAATCCTGTGATAATAAAAAAAATACTTTGGATACATATACAACAAATACTATTGTAACTATGTTATTAAGTTAATATTAGGAACAATAATGTAAATGTTAAATGGTAATACAATCATTTTTGAAAAATAAATATAAAAAATCGTACATGGTTTATGAGTAAAACTTGTCAGTGGAAAAGTAGTGGTGTATTTATGAATATGGCACCTCAAGTACACAATTAAGTAGCATCCCATTTTCATAACATGGAATTATGGGATAAGAGGGGTTGGGTGTGATTCATAATATTCTTCTCCCTTCACCCTGTGTCAACAGCTCTGACATAATTATAAGGTGCTTGGCATATGCTGAAATAACCCACGTGAATGTTTTTGACAAATCGATTTGTTTTTTGTTGTAACTCTATAAATGTTATTTCATTTTAAATTCAGGGTTTTGGTCCGTAGATGAGCCATTTAATGAGAAAATTTCAAGTAATTAATTAATTAAATAGAAATTAAAAAAAAAAAATAATACACCAGTAATATCATCAACGTAAGTGTTTAACCATCTATAGCAGGGGTCTTCAACCTTTTTATGCAGCGGGCCACGTATTATTTTTTAATAATCTTGCGGGCCGCATTTGTAGTAAAAACATGTATTTTATACAAAAATTCAGTTTTATTATTAAAATTTTCATGATTACATTTTAAATTACAAATTATTATTATTATTATTATTAAAACATATTATATAGATAAACATTTTTTGTTAATTACAAATTTTTTATTTTATTTTTAGTGTGATAACTGACACTGTTTTTCACTAACTAATTTGTTTATATTTGGTTGGATCTGCGACGAGGCAATTCTGAGTGAACTTTCCAAGTGACTGTCAGTTAGAAATCGAAATAGTATCGAAATAGTATCGAAATAGAAAATATACATGCTTAATTTCAAATGTGATCGCGGGCCGCATATTATGACAGGGCGGACCGCAAGCGGCCCGCGGGCCGCGGGTTGAAGACCCTTGATCTATAGGTATAGCATGCTACGTTTTATTTATGTATCCATTAAAAATCATTTGTATTTGAGTATAGGGCCGAGGACTAAGCCCTAAAAAAGCACATGCTGTGTAAGTGATTAAGTAATTAAAGGCCATATAATATGCTCTAAAAAATTGTTTCTAGTGGCTTAATATTGACAAATATTCAATGCAACCGCAACCACTTCTAACAAGCGTTTGAAATTCGAATTCGCATTGAYTGATTTTTATTTTGTTGTAATTCAAAAACGAATAAGTACAGGTTCTTGAAATGTTCAAATATTTGTTTTATTACGTTATCTATTATAATACTAACATGTTTCAAATATAAAAGTTCATTATTTGTTTTATGTATTTTGAATCTCAAGCACCGTCGCATCCTAAGAGAACTAGTAATTTGGGATCAGTGGACAATTTTCCACTTAACCCTCCCTTAAATACACCACTAATTAAAAGTGCGTGAGTGTGTTGTGGAATGTAACAATAATAATATAAAAAATACATAATATTTACGTGATAAGTTTCATCGCTTCTCGGGGTACGGGTTTCTTTGGCCTGGAGAACTTTTTAGCGATCTGATTTGCCACAATCTGCTGTCGGTTAGAGTGCGGAAACGGCATGGTGTCGGATAGTATCACGTATAGCACAACTCCTAGTGCCCACATGTCGTAGGAAATTGGGTCGTATGGTATGCCCTTGACCAAAAATAAGTTTAAATAAGTGAATCGTGTGAATGTGGGGTGTAAGTTATTAGGCGACAATAATTTTAATATCATCACGTCTAGTTGACTGATTCATAGCGCACACTTCGTAAATTTTGGGTAATAGCTTAATATAATTAGGTACTATTAAGGTAGGTACATGTTTTCTTACGTGTACCTAAATTTTTTCTACTCAAAATATAAAATTTATCATTATTTATCAATTATTTTGTAAACAGATAATAAAATAAATATATATTTTTTGAAAAATATTAAAAAGTGTCAGGTATATGGCGAAAGTACGAATATTGTAACATAATAACATATATATGTATAATCCATATAATTATAACATATACATCAGTAGCAGGTATAATGTGTGAGTTGATTATGAGTTAATTACAGAAGTCACCCGTTTATGGCACTTGAATTGAGAATTATAAGCAGAATTAATTAGAACATAATTTATGTATTTCATTATGAAAACCATAATAAAGTTTATACCACTTAAGTATAATATATTATTACTTATTAGTTATTACTTATATACGTAGTGTATTTGGTATAAAGTCTATTTGTCTACTTGTTATGAAAACAAGATCGAGTATGTTTTAGTATGGACTTTACCAGTAAAAGCCTAGAATCATTAAAATCCTCACATTTTTCCAAACCTATTTGTTATAATTTAATCTTATTTCAACATCCCCATTGTTTATTTGTTTTCAAAATCTTTGTTAAAACTAGATTGTTCGTATTTTTGTCATGACAACATGGTTTCTAGTTAATTTATTTATCGGACTCATAATAGGGCATAGTCAAAAAAAGGATGTCAGCGTACTGTTTGTTTCTATATATGGCCTACACGTAACATAGATTTAACATTTTAACGTATTTGTGAAGAATCATTTTAGATTCTGAGCGAAGTGATACATTTATTAATTTTACAATGACGTATGTTTTTTATTTATTTATTTATTTTTTGTATCTGTGTACACGATAAGTAGCTGAAATAATGGTTCGATTTTCAATTTCAATAGTTTTTCCGATGATAAAGTGACCCTAATTTGGTGCATCAAAGGGTCAAAATTTAAAATTCTCAGTTAAAAGCGACGGGAAAAACAAAAAAAGTAAAAAATTTTAAACTGGCTACTAGGCTTTCAATTTTTTAAAGTTTTTTTTTTCTATAAATGTCAATAAAATTTTATTCGTTGGGTAAAAAAGCTTGAAATTTTTCGTTCGAGTGTTTAATGCACTTAATGATTCACTTGACGGCATATTATACTATTATACGCACTTGTAACACTTCGGGCGCAGCATATGACGAACTGCCGCAGTACGTCTGGCTCATCAGTGTCCGGCCTCTCTCGTCCGCGCACAACCTGGCGAACCCGAAATCTGTCAATTTTACTGTCCGCATGCTTTCCAATAGCACGTTTTCACATTTTATATCCCGGTGCGATATGTTTTTTCGGTGCAGGTAATCCACGGCCTCACATATCTGCCTGCGATGACCATGGCGCGTACGACCGTGAAAAAAATCGAGAGCACACAACATAATAATCAGTGGCGTTGGTATATACGAGGGCGCACTTATAGGCCATAGCTCATACTCAAATTTCAGTATGAATTGAAAGATTTATTATAATGTATTTATTCGTCGTAATCACAACCCCCGGCCCTAATGCTTCGTGTGCAATACGACAGATATTGTCTTTTATTTGATTCATTGTAAAAATACGKAGGGTTTTTTTTTAAGTGAAGAGTCAATAATATGTTATTTAATAAACGTGAACCAAGTGAATTTTTCGTCAGAATTTATATCACATAATGTTTTCATCGACCTAGCCTATTGATGGAGTGAGTTATGCGGGGTGACATCTGCCGCGATCTACAATCACTCTATTTAGTGCGTAAAAAAATAATACAACTATGATTAACGAATGTTTAAAAGGTTTTAAACATTACATCTATGATTCAAAATTTTAAATTCCAAAAAATATATAATTTATTCATCGAAATTATTAATAGGTACACAATTCTCTAATTCGTAGTGAACATTTCTAATTTTAGGCTACACGCTTAGTGTTGGAATTCACTAAAAAATAGAAACTGATATACGAAAAAAATAAATATATATTATATAGGTAAAGGTGATTCGTATCATTAATAGTGATTATATATAACATTATATATATTGTATAGTGATTCAATATGCAATGTGTACAGTGCACTCATTTGGAAAAGTATTAAGTATGAATTTTTCAAGAAAAAATGTTTGCAAATTCATGCATTATTATTTTCATATTATTATATTTGTTCAATGAACTCATTATCGACTTATATATTTCTTAATGACTATCTAAAAGTGTATGCTCTCAAAATGTCGATYAAACCATTCAAACCATATGTTATAATTGTTATCTATAATTTATTATGATGAGCATTTGAAATGTCTCTGCGAGAGTTGGTTAGCAGGGCAATCAAGCGGTATAGGCCTCAAGATCTGTGTTCCACTCTACGTACTACTAGGTTTGTCAAAACTCAAAAATACTAATTGTTATAAAATTAAAAATTAAAAAAACAAGTTCCAGTAAAGTGTAGAGTGTTTGTTTCACATCGCAGCTAGCCGAGAGTCGATATGACGGTGCATTCTATGTATAATATCAAACTCGAAGAAGTGGAAAATACAAAAAACAATTTAAATATTATATTAATGTTGGAAAAATCTAACGATGAGCAAGGTGACGAACGCTATCGGGGATTCGTCATCGGCACTGACCTGAAGAACGTGTGCGCTTGCCAGTGGGGTATGGTCTTGACGTGTTGCAAGTAGCTGAGCAGGTCACCATTTTCGCAATAGTCCATGAACACGTGCACTGTGTACGGCGTCACGTATATCCGGTGCGTTCTGACCACGTTCGGGTGACGGACCGTGCGCAACACATCCAGTTCCCGGGGCAAGAACTTTCGGACGTATGACGAAGCGCCGCCTTCGCGCCGCTTGTTGATCACCTTGCACGCCACCCGGGCCGTGGACGGGTACAACGACGACGCGGTCACCGGTACCGTCCGGAACGCTATCCGGACTTTACTGTACGACCCGTGGCCCACGGTCGTGCCCAACCGGTAACCGTCCGCGGTCAACGCCTCCGACAGCGCATCCTCGTTGTCGAGGTGCACGATTCGCGGACGGTGTTTCGACGACTGTGCAAGAAGTGCAACGGGATTAGGCGACACTTCCGCGTGGGTGGTGGCTGTGGAACGTCGGCTGCACTGTTGCGGCGAGAGAATACGACGCTGTTGCTGCTCCAGGAGACGCTGGTGCTGATCCAATAGCCGCTGCTGGTGGTGGTTCTGGTGGTGCTGTTGCTGGTGGTGCTGTTGCTGGTGGTGCTGGTGTTGGTGGTGACCGTTCATGGAACTTCTATGGCAGTTAATGGTATATCCGTTAGCCGCCAAATTTTATATTCTATTACTTACCTACGATATTTATGATGAACACGCGTTTTCGTATTGTACCGGTTTAGCCGGGTTTGCGGTTTTTGAATTAAAATTTGACGTGACGGACGCAATACTTAATATTAACTATTTTTTATTTTCAATTTTTTATTTTTAAAAATATTTTTACCGAGCATACTAAAAAATTGGTGTACGCGGACTGCGATAATAAAATCGTTTTATGTTTGGAAAAACGAGTCGGCGTTGCTATACACGCGAAACTTTCCCGCCATCGTCATTCCTTATATACTGTTGAGCACTGCATATTATATTGTTATATCTTTATATTGTTTATTTTAATATATTATGTACTAAGATATTGTGTTTTTTGTGGGTACCATGGGCATCCCCAGGGGATGGGGCAAGACGTGCCACTTACCCCCTATAATTTTCTAAAGCATTATTGACTCCCATATATTACCCATCACGGCATCACATATATAATATACTCAAAAACTGAATTAAGACGTTTATGTTCACAAATCATAAGCATTAAATGTCTATATTCATACTATTAAGTCCTAAGAAAATCTCATGCGTCTTTTTAAAAATATAAAAGGTATAAAAAACAAGTAATTGCCCGTCATAACATTTATGATTTTATATAAATTAAAATGTACGTATGTTGTTTTTCGTATATTTACAATAATAACTATATATTTATTTACCAAGATAAAAACTCCATTTTACATAATATAAATAATAAATATTAATACTTAATAAATAAATGAATAAATTTAAATACGGTTTCAGAGATTTATAATTTGACAAATAAAAAACTACAATATAATAAGATCATAATATTATTCATAATGGTAATCATATAGTCATAAGAAATTGGTTGTTTTTAAGTTTAATTTAATTTATTCCAGGTTTTAAAAATTAAAAATATAAATGTTTAAGTTATTTCCTTAGGACATTGAATTAGCGAGAGAATAATTGATTATCATTATTTTATTTGGTGTTTCTGTGTAAAATGTATCTTTCAATTTTCTGTTAAATGAGTCCACATTAAATTTATTTAAAAAGATCTGGACAGTACAAATTATTATTACTAAGATTATATAAAGATATATTAGAATATTCAATATGTTCCAAAGCATTTATTGTAATCCGATAAAAAACTTTAACTTAACTTGATTTTGGGGATCTTTTTTTGAAAATCGCATTAATAGATAAAAAATGATAATTGAGATGTATTATTGCAGTAAACTCGATACCATTAAAGGAGTACGCAACACAATCAGTTTTTATTTTGAAAATAGGTATATTCTAAGACAATGTTTGCCAGATCTTTTTGATCGTTTTGAAGTCCTACGCTCAAATTAAAAAATAGTATGGTGTCCTTATTTTTAATGCATGCGTACTTGATAGTTATGTCTCGACATAGAACAGTTTCGATATTTTCTACCCTCGAATAATAGGTAAGCAACCGTCAATCAATTATATAATGATATGAATAGGCAGGTACTAGGTATATAATATAATCACGTTTCAAATCAAAATCATTAATTTTTTATCAATCATCGTATAAATTGGTGCTAAGTGCATGAGCCAACTTAAGAGTCTAGTGTATTCATAAAATTTGTTGTGTACCTAACGGCTTATTAAAGTATCAAAAATACTATTGTTGAATAATCATTTTTTAATATTTCTTATATACCTAGTCAATAGTTCCGTTTAGCACCGTTCGTTTATTTGAAAATGATAATATCGCTGTAACTATGGTTGATTTTTTTAATAGTAAAGTCACAAGTGTAAAGTGTTGTATAAATACAAACGTACAAAATTATTATTTATTTATTGTCTATATTGGTTTATTGAATATTTATTTTGTGCATCAATAATACGGCTGATTAAAAAAAGAAGATATATATATATATATTAAAAAAAACGATTTATATATATCTTTAAAACTGTTTTGTTTTGTTTTTGTTGTATAAGGAAAATAAAAGAATAATGGGGGCACTTATATTTTTGGAAATATAAAGTGCACTTGTAGTGTGAATATTCATTGCACATGCACTTACTACTTGCATAAATCTAGGCCTGGATAATATTATGTGGGTGTAATAGTACCTACCTACGTCGTAAACTCGTAACAGTAATTTTTCGTTAAAACTTTTGAGCAATAATAATTATTAGTTGCAAAGGGTGAGCCCAATTGAGTACCTTTATGTATTGTAAACTTCGTTGTCAAACACAAAGCGTTTTAATTTGATTATACATTTTTGGCTTGATGTGTTCCCTATAAGAGAATCATGCGTTTTATTTGTTTCAGGGTTTTCTGGAAACTAATTTCATAAAGTAACCATCTAGAAGTTCATTACGTGTTGCACCGTCCTACACGATGTCGCGCAACGATAATAAAGTCAACAGTGACGATAATTCAGTTGCTGATAATGCAGTGGTGAACTCCGGTGACGGCACTCCGGTGAGTATATTTATATATTATGTCATAATTATTACATATACATATATTTGTGTATTAATTGAAATTGTGTTGTTTGATATTTACTTTTCACATTTATTATTGAATAGACGAATAACCCAAGCACAAAAACAGCTACCGCGGCGCAAAGTACTTCCAACAATTCGGAAAAGAATGTTATGGTAGGTAGTAAGTTTATTCTACGATTTTTTCACCATAACTGTAATATTTTTGACTGTCCTTACATTATTTTATTTAGATGAATAATTCACAAATACTTGAACCACCTATACCTGCAATCCGCGCAAATGTGGTAAGAGACTTGACTAGAACCCGACAAAAATGTTCAAAGTTATTATTGATAATTATAATTTTGTTATTTTATAGGTAGCGAAAGCAATAGAGTTTTTGGTCCTCGAATCTGTACAAAAAATGTCTGCTGAAAGAAAAATCAACTTCTTAAGTAAAAAAGGATTAACTGATGCTGAGATTCAGTATTCAATTCAGAGAGCAGCAATGATCTGTTATGATAATCTAAGTCTTCATAAAACAAATGTTGGATATTCTATAAACCATAGTTAATGATGTTCATAGTTTAATTAACTTAACTCAAATTATTTTTGTATAGCCTCCGCCTGTTCATTACAATGCTTCTAGTGCAGTTCAAACATCATTTGAATCACAGAGCTGGTACAGTCGCCTGTTTGGACCAATAGCTTTTGCTGCTGCAATTGTATACATTGGCTATAAGTTGTATAAAGTATGCACAAGACTTATAAATATTTAGAGCATATTAAATATATATTATTGTCTTTTGTTGTTCTAGAAATATATTGAAAACTGGCTCTTTGGGGTTAAAAAAATTCCATTGGAAGTTCGTTTGGAAACATTAGAGTTGTCAGTCCAAAGGTGTTTGATGATGTTAGAAGAAAGAGACAATTCATTCAAATCATCAAATACATATGCCGATCAGCAAAAAGATTTCTGTACTCAAGTTCGTGCTGAACTTATGTCTATTAAAAAATTACTTCTCAATAGGTATTTATTGAAATAGGGTAATTTATTTTGATAAATTTTAAATAAATTTTATGGTTTAGATTCCAATTTCCTCCAGCCCCTGCATCTTCCAGCATACCACAATGGCAGCTACCAAAAAAAACCAAATCACAAGTAGAACAAAAAAAAATCAACAGCAGAGATGTACCAAATTCATTACAAACAAATGAAAAGAATATACATCTTAATGAGACTCAAAAAAGTCCAATAATTGGTATTCAATTAAATGGTCTAAATGGTAGTGATAACGACAAGGATCAATTAACAATTAACTCTACGTCTAATGAAACACCATTCCCAACAAGTTCTAACCAAAATTCAATTGTACGTGAAAATGTGAATGGTAATGGTGACATTTCTAGTGAACATATTAAGAATAATGAAGGTGTTAATCAATAATGTGAAATGTATGAATATAAAAATATTTCTTTCAACTTTTTTTTTAACTTTCAAGTTTGAAAATAATTATAAATCATATTATTAAAAAAATATTTTTGACATCTGTGCATTTTTAACTTATTTATATTTTTCATCAGTCAGGTTTCATATGGTTATGTCTTATGTGTATTTGAGATCTGAATAAAAATAAATTATCTAAATTTTTTTTTTGTGATTAGTTGAAACTATTATTTTATTTTTATTTGCATTTTAAAATATGATAAATTAAATAATAGATTGCATCTTTATTTTATTTACATTTTTTATTCGATGATGGAGGATGGAGTTATCAATATAGTAATAAATTTAATATGTTACTGTAATAAAGAAATAACTGTTAAAATTAAATTAATAGTTTATTTTTGTCAATCACTTTATTTTACATTGGTGAGTATTTAATTCACAGAACAAAATTAATTTAAAAAATATTAATTACTATTTTTGTTATTATTTTAAATTTTCAAATATTTAAAAGTGGAAAACTTTATGTTTTATGTATTTGATATTTTAAAATAATTAAAATATATTTTAAAATTAATATCTTATAAAAAAAATTGGTTTAATGAGTAGATAAATAATAATTTACTTATATCAATATTATTTTACATTTCATTAAAAATATGTTGAAACTTGAAGATTTGATTCACTATTTATTACCTACTTTATTTTTTAGTGCTCTATTAATTTGTACAAAATATAGTATTTAAATTAAATTTCTACATACAAACTTAAAATTGTTTATATTGATGTTACATTATGGTCAGATTTGGTTTCGTTGAAGTTGCAAAGGGAAAAAGACTTAGAAACATTCATCTAAGCTTAAAATTCTACTAAGATGTTGTGTGATTTTGAAATGAAATAAATCATAATTTGGGTATAGTTTACTTAAAATATTGATTTAATGCGATTTAAACATTTTAAACGACTGACTTTTCATTTTTTATTTTTTATAAATTAAGTATTGATGTTAAATTTTAGTTAATTGATGTAGCTTGTAGATATATAAATTATGTAACCAAATTGTATCAATATTTTAAGTATTCTTTCATAATTTCCGTATAATACATTAATACCTTGTTGTTTTTTTGGTTTAATTTTACTAAAATAAAAACTATACAGTTTCTATAAAAAAATTTTGTTAATTGGTTGATATATAATTAACATTTCTGATCAATTGGATGGGTTTTGATTTTGAATGTTACTCTTTCAATTTTGAATATTACTATTCATAAAATAATCAATTCACAATTTTGTAAGTCATGGTATTATATTGTAACAATTTGTTTTGATAGATATATGTATAAATAATAAAATAAAAAAAAATAGTAAAATTCTTCAAATATTAATTTTTAAAGCCATATGAAGAAGTTATGATCTAATGTCAATACTATAATTATGTACATGATTCGCACTACTTTTTCTATGAAGTCAGTAACGCGTGAAATTAGAAAACTTGAACCCTATGATTCTCTCGGTCGCAGACTAATATATTTCCATTGGACATAACAGCAATGCCTTCAAGTCCTTTAAACTCTCCATCACCAGATCCCCAGCAACCGAAAGCCCTCAGAAACGTTGAGTCAGGATGAAAAATTTGTATACGATTGTTACCAGAATCTGCCACCAGTATGTATCCTTGATCGTCTACAGCTACACCTCTGAAAAGTTACATTTCATTATTAATGTGAGATCAATATTACACTATTTATTAAACCATATAATTCTGGAAAAAATATATTGTAGATAAACCTATAATTTTCTGTTTTAGAGCACTACAGATTTTTTCTTATATTATAAAACATTGGTAAATTAAGCATTTTATAATTGTAATCCTTTATTTTCGATGTCAAAATTACATTAGAGTGGGGTGGTTGTTGCCTTGTTGGGCAAGCACGAAAAGTTTAAGATGGTAAATGTCACAGTTAAATTTATAGACCGAAGTATTGTGTTTCATTGTTATTTATTATACAAATAATTTGTTGATGTTGGTTAAATGATTTTGTAGAATGTGTTATATAGGTAGTTATGATTTATGTTAATTATATTTCGGGAAGTTATTTATGATTTAAGAATGGGCTTAACACTGAGAGTCAGCAGCACCTAATGGTAGTCTGATACCTACCTGGTAAATACCTAGTAAATTCAGATTCAATGCCAAACTTTGGTGAAATGTGAAGTTATAAAATCGTCATGTATAACAGAAAATATTTCAATAACAATAGTGTTCTGAAATATTAAGTATTACTATTGTATTATTTTTTATTAGGTACCTACCTATGTCCCATATGACTTTAAAACAAGTATGGTTATATTGACTTATGTGGGAATAGTGGAGCGTACCTACTTATAATAAGTAATAGGAAGAGAAATGTTACTTACTTGGGGAATTTAAATTGACCATTTTCTGACCCTTCTGTTCCAAATGAACTGATCACTCTTCCGTTAACATCAAAAATCTGAATGCGATGGTTGTTGCAGTCAGAAACGATTACTCTGTTTGTATTCGATACTGCAATGTAATGTGGGTGTTCCAGTTGTCCAATTTTATTTCCGTTCGACCCAAATTTACCTACAAATGTTCCGTCTGACTGGAACACCTGTTGAATAAAATCCTATCTTAAAATTATTGTTCATAATAAATGATGATTTACTTGTTACAAAACTGGGCTATATTTAATATCCATCTTAGTTTTACTCTAATTTTAATTATTAATTATTGCAATATATTTTAATTATTGTTTTTTTTTTTACGTTGTTAGAAAAAAACTATGCATTTTTTAAACAATATTACCTTCCTACATATGTTTAAGTGTAACTAATTAGTTGGGTATCTACTTAATTAATAAAAAAAAGTAAGCAAAACAGTCTTTTTAGATTCTGAACGAAGTGATGAATGTATTGATTTTACAATGATGTGTGTTTTTTTTTTTTGTCTGTGTACAGCATAACTAGTCGAAATATTGCTTTGATTTAAAACTTTGGGGGTGGTTTCCGATGTAAAAGCGAATATCCTCGGTGCATTATAAAGGTTAAAAGTTAATATTTTCCAACAGAAAAAAAATCGAGAAAAACAAAAAAAAAAAAATGACAGAAAAACGGGAATTTTTACGCAAAACCAGTTTTCGACCAAATCAATTTTTTATATGGTTGTAATTCAAAAACTAATCACTGTAAATACATGAAATTTTCACCAAATGTTTACGTTAGTGTTATCTATATATAGTTTAATTTTCAAAATGTTTTGACTTTTTTTGAGATACTAATAGACCATTGAAATTTTGATTTTTATGAGAATTTTTTTTTKTAGTGTCGGTAAAAAATTTAAGATCACCAAAAAAACTTGAAAATTTAAAAATTTAATACAAGGTTCCTTATGAGTTTTTATTATTGTAGCTAAAAAAAATTAAAAATCGTTAGTCACAGTTTTTTTTTATAAGCATTTATAGTTCAAATTTTTACGAAATCTGTCGAAAACGCGAAAATTTGCAAGTAATTTTGAAGTTGAAAAATCATAAATTTTTTGTGTTTATAGATTAGGTTAACGATAACGATTTATCCTCAAACTATTTTAAACATTTGTTATTATTCAAAAATTATAAGTCGTAAATACTTGAAAATTTTACCAGTTATTAAGATTSGCATTTTCTTTATATGATTTAATTTTCAAAATATTTTGACTTTTTTTGAGGTATTTATAGACAACTGAAATTTTCAATTTTTCTGAAAACTTTTTGGCCCTATCAAAATACTTGAAAATTTAAGACAAAGTTTCTCATAAGTTATTCTTATAGTGATTAAAATATTATAAGAATACATGGGCACAATTTTTTTTTATTAGCATTTGAAGTTTAAATATTGACAAAAATTCGTTAAAACCATGAATATTTGCAAATTATTTTGAAGTTGAAAAATCATAAAAATGTTTGTGTTCATAACTAAGGATTAAAAATACAACACTAAGTTTTTCATAAGTTTTTCTTCAAGYAGCTATAGAGAAAACTCGAAGCGTCATTATAGGAAAAATGTTTTGAGTGTTTGAGTTTTATATTTTTATGAAATTAGGTATATCTATGATAATATAAGGTATTATGAATTATGATAACTACATGTAATGTTTTTGGAAAAATTGATTAACCATGCCTTATGCAAAATGCGTCCTAATTGAAAAATAAAATATTTGTTTCAAAATAGAATATAATATGGTAATATTTAAATATAATATATCCTAGACCAGGGATGGGAACCTTTTGATAACTGCGTGTCAAATCAAAATGTTTGGTTTGATTTTATTTGTTTTACGTGTCAGAAACTTTGCAGACCTGCCAGACCTTCTTTTTTTTATTAAAAAATAATTAATTAAACATTTACCTACGTTTTATTAGTAAAATTGTGAAACAAAATGTTAGACGCCTTTACAAAAACTTCTTTTAAGTATTCTCCGTCAGAAAGTGGCTTACCATGCTGCGTAATGCAATGCGACACAGAAAAACTAGCGGCTAATAAATTATTATTTTGTTTGAATGCCACTTTAAATTTGTTTGATTGACTTCTAAACAATTTTACTTTTTGATAAATCAATTCTAATTTTTCTTCAGCCGATAGAGAATATATGTTATTATGAACTGTCTCGAAATGTCTTTTAAAATTGAAACTACGGCTTACAACAATTTCGTTACACAAGAATTACACCAAAATCCACTGTCCACTGTTCGTGGAATAATCTCCCACTACCACTTTTTTCTGGATTCAGTTTACATTTTTTGAACATCTTTATTCTATAAATTTAGAAACGGCATTAAACTGCCAACGGTTGGACGTGAATTTTATTATAGTGAGTAAGCCTGAAGCAACATTGAATTGGTTGGTTAAAATAGTCGTCGTGTAAGACATCCGAAACTATCTGTTGACGACTGTGGACTGTTCTGTTGTAGGTACCTACGTTTGTTACGTAAACGCGAYAAACGAATTTATTGATAATCAAATCGTTTCGTTTTCGAGCTTAGGGAATGGGAAGTACCWACAGATTACAATATCTTACGATATATTCCAATAATAAGTTAAAAATAGTTTSAAATTRTCAATAWTTTTTTTGGAAAGTGAAGTAAAAATTATGAATAATATTTAAATTGGCGTGTCACCGAAATAATGCGCGAGTGT